TTTAGCTCCTAGTCCAGATTTTCGAAACCTTTACTGAATCGATGGTTTAACGGCAGATTAAAGACACTGAAATTGTCTTTCAACTCCTGCTGTTTGGGTGCCGCGCAGTGACGGAGTCTATGAGTTACGAGTTGGAGAAGTTGGCAAGGTTTTCATTTGGCAGTTTCCTGCAAGTGCTCCCTATTTTTAATGCTGGTGCGTTTGTTGATCATCCAGGCCAAAATTTCTAAAGACGTCAATTAAAGAGGGCGCCAGTGGCTTTCCACTGCAGTTCTTATCTTTAAAATCCTGCAAGAGGTTAAAGAGTAATCGGCCCAAGAAGTGGGGCGAACATTGTTTGAAGGCTTCACCAAAAAATCGACATGTTTAGCTCCTAGTCCAGATTTTCGAAACCTTTATTGAATCGATGGTTTAACGGCAGATTAAAGACACTGAAATTGTCTTTCAACTCCTGCTGTTTGGGTGCCGCGCAGTGACGGAGTCGATGAGTTACGAGTTGGAGAAGTTGGGAAGGTTTTCATTTGGCAGTTTCCTGCAAGTGCTCCCTATTTTTAATGCTGGCGCGTTTGCTGATCATCCAGGCCAAAATCTCTAAAGACATCAATTAAAGAGGGCGCCAGTGGCTTTCCACTGCTGTTCTTATCTTTAAAATCCCGCGGGGGATTAAAAAGTTATCAGCCAATAAATCCGTGAGAACATAGATTGGCAGTTTTGTCGCAATACCGATTATCTTTTGGGCGTGGTTGCCACACTTCCGGCCTAATCAAGCACTAGTTTAGAGATAAGTTAAAGAGCCTCAAAGTATCTTTAAAATGAGGGTCTTATCGCTGCTATCCAGCAAGAGGTTGCACAGTACTGGAGAAATCCAACTCCGAAAACATCGCTCTGGCGGTTTTCCCTCAAAAGTCCTTTTCCTTGGCTCCTAGTTAAGATTTTCGAAGTTTTTGGAAAAAATCGTTAAAACATAAATGAACGACAGTAAAACTGGCTCTTCAACGCAATGCCGGCGTTGCCAAACTGCCCAAAGGGGACGCAGTTACAACCGGTGCAAATCGAGAGAATGTCACTAGGCAGTTTGTCGTTAGAACTCATTTTCTGTGGCTCCTAGCGGAAAAACTTGAACTTTCCCAAAGAAATGCTTGACACATAATTGAAAGCCCATGATATTAGCTCTAATCCCAGATGCCTACGTTGCCAATTGGGCAAAAGGTGGCGAAAGCACAGCCTATGGAAGCAAAAAAAGTTTCAATTGCCAGTTTCTACTCAGCACTGAGCTTGGCGATTCAAAGTTTCCTTTTTGGGGCAGCAGCGAAAAACTTTTAACAGCACAGTGTTAAGCCCATAAGGGGCCCCTGAAACCGCAGGTTTCAGTTTCCGCCTAAGTTCACCAGGAGCTCCATATTCAGCTGGCGAGTTTTCGCATAAGGCAAACTGGCCTTTTTCCCTCAACACCCAAATTCACTGGGCCCCAGTTGGGGCATTTTAGCTCTAGCAAAAATTTCGCTCAGAGATGAATCAAAGAGCCTCAAACCGGCTCTCAAACGCGTGCTTCCGCATGCCCATCGGTTGAGCGCCCAAGAAGTTATCGGGCCAAGAGCAGGAAGAGGCACCACGTATCAACTTCTGCTTTGCAGTGATGTTCTTTGGCTCCTGGGGCCGAGGTGCGTAATCGCACAAAAAAACCCTCACGAGGTGAATTGAAGACAAATGAATTGCCGTCACAATGAGGTACCTGGATCGAAGATCCCTTCTCCGGAAGCTGAGAACGGGGCGAAACCCTCGATCGCAGCTGAGAGCCAAACAACCTCCCTTGATCTCAGCAAGGCCCCACATGCTTACAAGACACCCATTTGTTTCCCTAGGGAAACTGGAGAGTTTCCCGTTAAAATCAGGATTAACGCGATCCAGAAGCTCAACCTGGCCGGATAATCGATGCGTTTTCCGCCCAAATTTTAATTGTCAGTTCCTGCTAAAATGCTTGATAAATTGTCTTCAGTCTGGCTAAGCTGGCGCGTGGAAAGCTCGCTTAACAGGCCGTTGTAATGCATGTGGCGTGACTATCCGAAACGGGGCTCCAATGATGAAAAGTGCGCGAACTGATGGCGAAAATGCCGTCAATCATCGATCGCGATTTTTTTCTTTGGAATCGAAACGTGGCTTATTGGCCTGTCAACGGCAGGATCCGGCCGCGAATTTAATTTTGCCCTAGTGGGCTGATAGAGGCGTGCTGGCTCTATGCGGAGTGAAAATTTGAGCACTCCAGCTGCTCCCGGTGGGAAGTTGTGAATTTTTCAAGCAGAGTCCACTCAGGTTAGAGACGAAACTGAGGGGCCAAGTTTGAAAAATTTGCCGAAATTCCGGTAGAGCCCATAGAGCTTTGGGGCTTTGCGCTTGTTTAGAGGCCTCATAGCTGGATGTTCCGAAAAAAATCCAGAGCTCTATCTAGAACGGGGTGGGCGGGGCGAATTTTTAAAGCAGAGCCTTC